GGGGTATTGTAAGCAGTAGAGTAGCCTTAGTGCTACGATCTGCTGAGATTAAGCCCTTGTCCTAAAGATTTGTTTTTCCTGTTCACATAATTGGCAGGTTTAAGGTTATTTTACAAATGAAAAAAAAAAACTTTCGCATTTATTTTAAATCGCTAGTTATTTAAAAATTTTTAACAAACAAAATATTTCTAAAATGAAACCAATATACAAAATTTATTTTTAAAGATCAATTAAAAAAAATTCGTCTCAATAATAGTTTTTTATTTAAAAATAAAACAAATAATCATCTCTATTCTAATTTGCTTCTTGATTTTGTACAAACAGAGCAAATCTAACTGTACCAATACTCAACGTAATAGTCAAAATCGTAACAAAAATAACCTTCCAACGTCTGGTTTCAGGTAAATAAATACGCTTTTGCTGAAACATACCAGCACAATGAGTATCAACAAAAATATAATAAGCATAAAGAGGCCAAGTTACAATATAACTTAATTGAAATATGTAAAACCTAACATGAATGAATAAATCTAATGAGTGCGTATATAAGTGAAAAAAAATAAAATAAAATAAAATAACTTACGCTAAGGCACTTCGTATCCAAATACTATTTGCAATATTACCAATTAAATGAATTATAGAACCTAAGATCAATAATATAATCTGATTCGGATGAGAAACATAATTTGGAAAAAATTCATCAATAGAAAATTTATTTTGTGAAACAGAGGGTAAAGCTTGATTGTTTAAGGGAAGCTGTTCATCATTTGCTTCTCGAAGATTTTTACGCGTTGAGAAATAAACACGAACAAACTGAATAATTATAGCATAATCTGGACAAAGACCTAAATAATTCAAAGTATTAGCAAGCAACCTTTAAAAAAATATATATATTATAAATAATAATTTTTTACCTTGGATTTTAAACCAAATACCGTCGTAAGGCCACGTTAATTTCATGCTTAATATAGTAACCAATAAAATATACCCTCCCAACCAAGCAAAAGTCAAGTTTGATTGCAATTTTCCTCCGTTATGTATCAAGATTAAAATCGCAATTTCCAAGACATTATGTAATACACCAGTAACACTCCATAATTTACCGACATCTAATGTCCAATAAGTAATTTCACCCATTCCAGTTATTAATATATAATAAGATAATAAAATAGTAAAACCTGTCGTTGGGGTTGCTATTCCATCTTTATAAAAATATGTGACATATTTTTTATTTTTTGGTGGTTTATATGACCATTTTAACGTAAGATAAGCTGAACAACTAGTAAGCACGATTGCCAATAAAACTAAAGAATCAGCTATTTCAAGATCATAATCTATATATATGATTCAATTATGAGAGACATTTTAAAGAATGTTCAAAAATAATAAATATTTATTTTTACAAACCGATAATTTTAGGATGCCATGCCGGATATTTAGTCCAACGTGCAACATCTTGTTCCGGAACTTCCCCAATTTCATTAGGGAAACTAATAAGTATAAGTACTAAAAATAAAACTAAACTAACAATACTTAAAACGTGTTTCATTTTACTCGAAAAGGTTCTGTTGGTGGGGGAGGAGGTAAATCGTTGTATGCGCTGCACTATTTATGTAGGTTAACCAAATTGGTCATTCGAACCAATAACTTGGTATTTGGTAATAAATAAAGACTTTAAGCAATAAAGTAAATTTTATTCATAAACATTTTTTTTTTGTTTTTTCATTTATAGCTTTTTATTAGATTATATTTCTGATTTTATAAAATGGACCAACGGCCAGCACCAGATTTCACCATATCACGGAAAAATTCTACCTCGACAGGAGCTGCAAAAAGACCAAAACTAACAAAAACAAGTTCAACGCCTGTTAATGCAACAGGTAGAGGTGGTGGAAAACGTGGTGGTAGTATTGGTGCGGCTTCAAAATCTACAAGAGGCAGTGGACGTGGAGGAACCACTAGAGGCACAACACGAGGCAGAAGGGGAAGCGCCGGTGTCGGTGGAGGGCGTAAATTGAGTATACAACGTCAACAATTAACCTCCTCACAAAGAACTCAGCAAGACAACTTTGATGGAGCGATTTCATCTGTTACAACGCCTGCACCAAGTACAACACCTTCTACGCCTCGTGACGCTTATTTTTCTGTACCTCCAACACCCGGCTCAGAACTTGATCAATATACGTTTGAAAATGATCTTGCAGAAGCTGGTACTTCTAAAGCAATTGATAATAAAGGAGAGGGTGAAGAGGAAGATGATGCTGATGATGAATTGGGTGGAACCGAAAATGCTGAATGGAGTCAAACGAGAACTAAAGAGGAACTCAAGTAAATAACAAAATGATTAAATGAGTTTGTATCTTAACCGATATTGATCACGTATTCTTTCATTTAGAATGTTATTGGATAACTTTTCTGAGGAACAATTAAAACGATATGAAGTTTACAGACGTTCGGCGCTAAGTAAACCAAATGTTAAAAGGGTAATTGATATTATTCCTTATTTAATTTTTTAAATTTATTTATTTATTTATTTTAACAACTGATTTATCATTAATTAGATGGTTGGGCAAATACTTGGTCATCCATGTTCACATAACATGTCAATAGTTGTAGCTGGTTTTGCCAAAGTTTTCGTGGGTGAAATTATCGAGAAAGGTCTTTATAAAGAAATAAAAAAAAAAAAGTACATTAAAAATTTCAAACATCTACTTATTATTTTGTTTTTTAATCATAAAAGCTCTTGATGTTAGACAAGAATGGGGAGAAACCGGTTCTCTATCACCAGAACATTTACGTGAAGCATATCGAAGATACAAAAAAGATACAAAGTTGACAACACATAATTATCAGAAGAGATTATTTAATAAATAAGATTAAAAAGCGACTAGTTAAGTATGTATCGCTTTCATTCCAAAAATAATTTTTTTTTAAAATCCTCATTAACCTCCCTCAAGTTTTCATAGGTAAACCTTTAATAATTTACACAAGGCATTTATTAATTTCAAATAAAGTTGGATTAAGCTATTTATTTGCAATGTTAAGCAAATTCAAAATAAGGGTGATTGAATAAATTATTTTTAAAATATGTGATAGAAACAAACCACAATTTCTCTGAATTTAATTAATTAATATATATATATATATATTTTTTTTTTTTTTTTTTTTTTTGTTTAGAATTCAGTTAAAGTTAAACTTTTTGCAATGTCAGTAGATTCTACTATTGAACAAAATTCCTCAAAAGAAATCTTTCCATCCATGTCTTTATCTGCTTCCATGATAGTTTTATCAACAATTTGTTGGAGTTGATTGTCTTTAAGGTTATTTCCAACCATCATTTTTAGAACAAGAAACAGTTCTCCATTAGAAATAAATCCATCTCTATCCATATCGTAAACTTTAAATGCAACTATATAAAGAACCAAACCCATCACTTTTAGTTTGCTTTTGAAATAAAAACAAAAAAAAAATAGAAATAAAAAATAAAAACTTACAACGCAATTTTTCAACTTTATTTCCTTTTGCACTAAAGGCACTTAAGCCAGAAATGAATTCTTTAAAATCTACATCTCCACCACCATCTTCGTCAAATATAGCAATCATCCTTGATGCTAAAGGATTATTTGCAATCTGTGGAATTGAAAGAAATTCTTCTCGGTCAATGGAACCCGAACCATCTTTGTCGAGTTTCATAAACCTTTTATAGAGTCTTTGGATCTCTTCAGGAGTGACTAATTATAAATTAATATACATTAGATCCTGTATATTATTGTAATAATTTTTTGTAAAAAGTAATTTTAAAATATATACAATTGCTTTTATCAACCATTTCTTGTAAAGGACGTGAATCAGCTTGTCCCATTGTACGACTAAACAGTCACTATTTTTTCTAATAGAAAGCAAAGTAGTTTAGATCTGTTATTAGCTGACAAAACGAAAACATTCTCTTTTAAATTCTTACCACAGGAGCCGTCAATTACGGCTATAAGCTAACTCGGTGTATATGATTAACAAACTTTGAAAGTTTTATATGTGATAGTCATCTGACTTGCTTGATGCATGTCGAGTGATACCCAATTTCATATAAAAAAGAAACCCCGTTGTATTATTTTTTATATAATAAATATTTGAATTTTTGAGATTAAAATTGATTTATTCGAAATATTTAAATATCAAATTAAAATTGTTTTTTATTTATTAATAATATACAGTATTTTTTTTTATAATTATAATGATCCTTATATTTTATAATATTTAAATAAATTTTTAAATTACTATATTTTAGTAATGTAATCATTAATTAGCTAATTTTGCCCATTAAATAACTAAATCTAATCAATCATCATTATAAATTAAACAATTTTGATTATTTATCAGCGTAAACATAATAATTACACGGCCGTATATGATCATGGTACTTTGTCTGTTAAGTAATTTTTACAGTGTGTTGTATTATAAATTATAAGCTATTAAATAATAACAATGCAATATCAATATACATAATTATTTATTATATAATATTATTAGTGATTTGATTTAAGAACTAGGTAACCGTAACCGTTGGAGTGTCCGAAGCGTAATTCAATTTATAAAATTTATAGTAAAATAAAATCTTTAAATATATTACAATTATGTGATACAATAAAAAAATAAAAATTATAGTAAAATGTAACACTAACTACAAAAATGTAACAATATGTAACATAATAATGTAACACTAAAAATTAATTGTGTTTTTGACCAAAACGAAAAAAAAATTTCATTCAATTTTGAGGAATCATAGATCTTAACCGTATTTCTTCTGCCATTCTCTCTTGTAGTCTCTTGCAAGTTTTGATATGCTGGAGTCTCTCAAAAAAAAATGTTGAAAAGTATATTTTTGAGAGCACAAACCCGCAAGATCGCTACAAAAGAAAGTCCTGCAGCAAACTCCTTTTTTTCAAGATCCATCACGGCCTTTTGCATTGTTAATCCCTGGCTCTTGTGTACAGTTATGACCCACACAAAACAAATGGGGACTTGCAAGTGAGAGCAAGTTCCTTTTTTTCCCTCCTAGCTCTGTCTGATTGGTGAAATCAGAACAAGCCTTTTACCTTCAGCAGTAATAATAGCTGGGCCAGAATAGTTGTCGAATTCTATCAGGATGGCAATAGGAAGTGAAGGAGGGGACTGATTTTCTTCAAATACTATTTCTTGAATAATACCTACTGAACCATTGACCAATCCAAATTCCGTTCACAAGTTAGCTCTAAGCATAACTCTCGCATCTTTTGTTAGCAACAATTGAGGCTCAAGTCCTTTTGTAACGTTTGAATCAGTCTTATGTGCTTCACTACCACCTGTACAGATAGCATTTATTCTAGCAACAGGACAGTTTAAAGCTTTGAGCTTATTAATGTTGAATTCGGCAACTTCTGACTTCTGAGGCAAAACACATATGACATCCAAGAATTCTATAGGTGATACATTTGGTGCATCAACAAATCGTGTGATAAGCATTTTCCAGTTATTTACCGTAGATTCACCATTACGCAACTGCAATAATATGGATCTAAAATTACGCTGATGATCAGAATCTCCTGACTGACATTGGATAATATCAAGCTTATAGACTTCCTGAAACTGTCTATATACTGTAATACCATCAGTTGATAACGGATCACGTCGAGAAATTTGAGAGTACATTAGTTCATCACGCACTGATAAGAGCTGACCAAAATCACCAACCAAGATAACTGATAGTTCACCAAATACCTGATTTGCTTCTGAGGAAAGCTTATCGTAGTCTCATGTCAATTAAGGCAAGCATATGACGGCCTACTATGCTTTTTTCGTCAATAATAAGATATGATACACCTTCTAATTTTTTTTGTAATTTTTTCAGGCGTTTACTATTTAAATCGAGATTATTGCTAGATATCGGAACGAATAGTGCAGAATGGATCGTTGTGTCACAAATGTTGAATGCTGCAACTTCAGTTAGCGCAACTATAAGAATAGGTAATTATGCTTTAATATTATGGTTTCTTGCGATTTCTTGAAGCTGATCTCAAATCATATTAATCAAATACGATTTTTCTGTCCCTGCAGTTCCCATTACAATAAGTCTGAGAGGTTCAATATGGCCAGGATCTGTAATTAAGATGCTATAATGAGATTCGATTCGTTTGAATATTCTCATCTGGTTGTCATTTAATGATTGATAGTCAACAACACAACTAGTAGCATTCTCATTATTAACAATGCATAATTCTCGAGTTTGCTGTATAAAATTCAGTGTATCTGCAAGATTGATATTAGAACAACGTCGTCTAACATTACCAGCCCAGTCATAATTTTTATCAATATCACGTAATCCCAACTCTGAAAAATTTTTCATAATTGCATCGGGTTCCATTTTCAATAGAATCATCCAATCAGGTTAGATCTATTCTTCATCTTCTTCATACTCATAATCAGTATAATCAGTTTCATTATCACTTGATTCATTCTCTACATCTATAGGAGAACCAAGTAAATCGGGCTCATTTTCAATTTTTTCACGATGCTGATTAAAAAGGTCTGACCATGAAATTGTATCGTTTTCAGTTAATTGATTAAGGTCTCGATGACAAACATGGAGAAGGACCTTGACTCGACAAAATTCTTTCCATTGAGATCCATTAATCTAAGGTAAGGGTCGTGACCAAATACGCACTATATTTTCTTGTTTACATTTTTTCTACTAACCTCTCCAATAGTTATACTTTAGATGAAGCTGGTAAAGTGAAACGTCCTCGAGTTCAACAGGCCGAATCCAATATTTTTGTAAAGGAAATTGTACTGTTCGCCTGACTTCACCATTGGCCATAAAACTTACTTCATCACCATTTCCTGTTTCACAAATCTACTGATAAGTTTGTTTGTTAAGGTTCAAAGTAACAAACTGGCAGCTGGAATGATATAATGGAATGCCAAGAAGCAGATGACACGTTTTCTAAGCTGAAATATCGCACTTAGCAACCGTCTAAAGCAATAAGCTTTAAAAGACTGACAGGAATAAAGTATCGGGAGTACTATCATTGAGAATCTTATTCAATATTTTTGTGAATGTTGCAGATCGTAATTCCAATTTGCTAGCATATTTGGATATGTATTGTAAAGCAGTCTTCATGTTAAGAATCGGCTTTAAATCAATGTTTGCACGCTAACCTTGAAGCTGTAATCGATCATGTGAATTGACATACAGATTATTTCTCGCTATCATTAACTCGAATTATTCATTCTCCTCATGTAGATATATATCATTCGTAATATCTTTCGGATAGCCAAATCTGCAAATTTGTTTACCTGCGCGATTCACACGAAGACAATATAAAGAATTACATCTAGTATAGCGTTGTAGTTTGTTAACTAGCTCAATGTAATCTTATAGGTTATCGCGTAATTCTTTAAGACGTTTCTGACATGGATAGCGATCAGGCACAGATGCGTCAAAATCGGGATTAATTGTAGTAACTAATGAATCTAAATATTGTATTACGTTACTCATCATGTCTTCATTCTCTTTCATTTTTTCCCAATTAATAACTGGAGTATCCTTCCTTTTTCCAATACTATGTATATGTGTACTTCCGCGGTGTTGCCATTCGAACCTGTACCAATAATCCTCAAGTTTCTATTTAGGTACTAACACTTTTTCCAAAAACAATTTAAAGCGTTTTTCAAAAAATCACGAAGCGATGTGAGGATTATCAATCAAGTCTTGGCGCTTATATCTATTCTCATCCTGTTCTGTTAAAAACTCTCACCATGTGGCATGAGGTTGTGTAGTTTAGGCCAATGTAGATCAGCAGCACTGAAAGTGAAAAATACCATACCCTGAGACCCTAACT